CGCATGGCAGGCATGCCGCATGGCATGCCTGCCATGCCGGCGACCTTGCCAAACAAGCAAGGTCGCCGCGAAAGTGCGTCAGCGTTTCCATGTCCCGTGCCGGGTCTATGCTCAATCCTGAACTCGTATTGTGCCAGCCGCTCTACCCACCTATCTACTTGGCCTTCCGGGTTCTTGAAGTTTAAAAGCCAAGTGAGGGATGCTTGATCAGTCCTTAAAAGGAACTTTGTGCCGTACAAGTAACGATGGAAATGGGTCACGGCTTTTACAACTGCCAAGAGTTCCCTTCTCGTAACGCAGTAGTTCTGTTCTGCCCTGTTTAGAACTTTGCTATAGTACGCAATTAATTTTTCGGAGCCATCCTGAATCTGGGACAACATAGCACCCAAACCGACGTTACTCGCGTCGGTATCGAGGACGAACCTGCAGTCTGGTCGAGGAAATCCAAGAACTGGAGGGGCGCTAAGGGAATTCTTGAATGTGAGGAAAGAATATTGTGCGTTTACACTCCATTCGAACGCCGTATTCTGTTCTGATAAAGCGTACAGCGGTTTGGCAATTGCGGCGAAACCTTTTACAAATCTCCGGTAGTAGGTGCACAGTCCAAGGAAGCTTTTAACGTCGCGCTGATTTTGAGGTTGAGGCCGGTTTCTGACGCACTCTGTCTTCTCAGGGTCCGTCTCCATTCCTTTTTCAGAGACGATATGACCGAGATAATGCACTCTCTTTTGAAATGGAACGCATTTATTGGCATTTAGCTTCAAGTTTGCCTTTCTCAGATGGTCAAATACGAATGACAAATTACAAAGTGCTCCCTGTAAAGTTTTGCCGTGCACAAGTATATCGTCCAGATAAACCAAGCAAACGTCGAGCGGCAGGCCCTTTAAAACCTGGTCCATGAGACGCTCAAACGTTGCAGGGGCATTACAAAGGCCAACTGGCATTACTTTGAATTGCCACAGACCATCTCCAGTAGAGAATGCCGTCTTCTCGCGGTCTCTTGGGTCCATTTCAACTTGCCAGTATCCGCTCCTGAGGTCTAATGTGGAAAACCAGGAAGACCCCGCAATCGCGTCGAATGTGCCATCAATCCTACGGAGTGGATAGGAGTCCTTCTTGGTGACATCGTTCAATCGTCGGTAGTCAACGCAGAACCTCGTGCTGCCATCTTTTTTCTTTCCCAAGACGACCGGCGACAAACACGGGCTCGATGAAGACTCAATAACATCTTGTTGTTGCATATCTTGGATCATCTGACCGACTTCGTTACGTTTTGCCAACGGAATTTGCCGGCGCTGTTGCTTAATCGGAGCTGAATTTGCTATATCGATGCGGTGTTGAGCAGCACCTGTCCGTCCGGTCTCCAAAGTAGAAGCAAACACATATCTGTATTTGTTGAGTAAACTCAGGAGATGTGTTTGTTGTGCTTGATCAAGGTGGCCTTTGGAGCGGTCTGCTAGATCCAGCAAGGAAGCCGGCATTCCTCTTTTGTCATATGGACAAGATCCTTTCGTGGGGGAGTAAAGCTCACAGCACGGGACCACTTCGCAATGCGACACCCCTTCTTCAGGTGGATAGGTTTATCCGTTAGGTTGGCAATACGGATAGGAACCTTTTCGTTGCCAAAATCTATTAGCGTTCTTGCTATAATGATTCCTGGAACAGTATCGCACGTGGCGTCTCCTTCAGCGACCACAATATTATCCGAGCAGTTATTGCCGTCCGTCACCCAGATAACGTTTTCGCTTTGTGGAGAAATCAAAGTGGACTTGGAGCATAGAAGGAATCCACCGCCGTTTTCTAAAATTGCTCGTTGGCCGTACAAGACGACGTGTTCGTCACTTACGTCCAATGTGTGACTCTTGAGATCCAGTGAACAACCATTCGCCTGTAGAAAATTGAGTCCAAGGATGCATTCCTCAAATATTTCAGCCACAAAAGCAACTTGCAGAAACTTTTGCGTGCCAAAAAGAAATGTAAGTTCACATCACGCCGTGGTTGGCGCAGTATCTCCTGTGACAGTGCGCAGTGAGCACCCAGAAAGGCGTTTGTAAGATATTACGGGTGTCTTTATTCGTTCATATACATCTGTTCTTACGATTGTGGCGTTGGCTCCGGTGTCAACAAGCATCTTGCATGATACACCTTGTATTTCTCCATCCACAAAAAGCCCGTCTTTGTCAGCTTGTAACTTTTGAACTTGCAGCGTTGGGACCGGCTCTTTCTTTTCTTTCTCAGCCGAGATTTGACCGGTACGCTCGGCTGGAATTAGTTTTCCGGACTGGAATAGCCTTTTTTTACTTTACTACGCCAGCTGCAATATCTCTGGATGTGGCCTTTTTGGCCGCAGCGCCATCATGTTGGAGATGGCCTCTGATGTGGTGGCATCCATGTTGCCTCGTGAGAAGTGTGCCGATCCGTGTTGAGAAGCGGCACTGGATGTAAAGCAAACGACGTGCCTGGCTGATAACCACCTGGCACAGTGACCCGCCGGGTGGCTGTTACTGCCCTCGTCGTTTCCTCTACCTCCATAGCTCGTGCAACAGCGTCACGCATGCAGGCAGGTGACGACAGGCGGACAAACTGTTGTACTTCAGTGTCTCCGATTGCGTCTAAAAAGTGTTCCACAGCCACAGAGTCCAGTGTCGCAGTTGTGCAGCCTTGATACGAGAGTCGCGTAAGCCTCTCGATGCCAATGGCCAGTTCAGACAACGATTCGTTTCGTCCTTGTATCCGCGTTCGGAGAGTGGCGTGGTAGAGCCGCCCGAGGTGCTTCTTACCGAAGCGCCCTTCGAGTGCTTCCTCAAGCGCCTTGTAGTCCCGCTGGTTGCCACAAGGAAGGTTCTGAAGCAGCTCCAAAGCTGATCCTCGGAGTGTAGATGCCAGGAACGCTCCTCGCGATGCGGTAGTCCAATCGTTTAAGTCCGCGACGAGATCAAAATGCACTTGAAAGGCATTCCAGGGGCTGCGTCTATCATAGGTGTCGAGCTTGACAATCATCTGCTGTGAAGCCAAAGCCAGCTGTTCTTTAGCATCCCCCGAAGGAAGTATCTGCTCTCTGTCATCATTTTCGGTTTCTGCTGGGGCTTGCAAGGAGAGATCTGCCGCGCTAGCAGTGCCGCTTTCGCTCGTACCTTCAGTAGTCTCGCCGGACCGCGATGGTGGGTGCAGCGCTACTCGAGGTCCCGTAAATTGGCGTGATGACTCGGTCCCAGGATGATGCTGGAGTTGCGCGGAAACCTCCGGACGTAGCTCTGCTAAAGCTCGCCGGTCTTCTCCTCGGTGACGATTCTGCTCCTCTCGCAAGCTGGCCAACGAAGCTTGTAGCGTGCCGATCGCTGTCATGACCAGGTCAGGCTGAGAGGTGTTGGGATCTTCCATAATCCCACTTCAGACACCAATTGTTAGGAAAATCAAGACGGTTTAAAATCCCAGCGTTCGGCGTTCAACGTTCATCGCCATGCGTCCTTTTTCTCGCGCCTTCTTCCTGTCCTCCTTTTCGTCGTCTTCTCATTCGCAGCACCGCCACAACAATATATATATATATATATATATATATATATATATATTGTGAACGAAGAGGGGAGAAAATGATTATTGAATTTATTGCATTAAAGTTAGGGAAAAGGCAAAGAGAAAAGGAAACAATTTTTCGCCAGCTCTCTTTCCCTTTGCCCTTTCCCTAACTTTAATGAAAGAAATTCAATAATCACCTTCTCCCCTCTTCGTTCACAATATTACAACGGCTGCACTTGTCAGTCTTCACTCATTCTCATTGTTTGTTTATATATATATATATATATATATATATATATATATATATATATATATATATATATAGATATAACGGGCATGGTGGCGGGAGGCCGAAGGCGTGGATATAAAACTTCTCAGTTTTATATATATATATATATATATATATATATATATATATATATATATATATATATATATATATATATAATTTTTTGTTTGTTTTGCAAGTAAGATTACTAGCATTCATGACCAAGCATGTTCTGATATTGAACAAAATGGCGAGGGAGAATTTCTTTTTTCAGCGCGCATCGTAGTTTTACAGAACAGTGGAACAGGCAGCTCTGATTGTACCGCACGCCCCGCTTCTTGGTGTTTTAACTTATATCGGCCGCACTAATGCCCACTTGGGAGCCCTTTAAAGACTGTCAAATAATTTATTCTATACGCATGCTTGTTACTAGGAGATGCAGCTCACGTAGCACGAAACATTTTTGTTTTCTACGAATTATAGGCAAAGGATAAGCAACATATTTCTGACTTTATGAATGGCTCACGTGGTCACCGGGAAAACGAGGCCGATCAGTCGACAAACTATAATATAAGTTTCGGGCGTGCTTCGTGGCGTCTGTGTGTGCTGTTTCAGTGTAGACAAAACTGTACGTTATGTGTTTTTATCCAAATTGTACTTGCAATTGAGAAGTAATTGTGTTGTGTTTATGTTTACTCAGCGGGTAGTTAGTGAGCCCCAAAGGGCGTTGGCCGGCTTGCTATACAAGCAGCGTCTTAGCTGCGACAGCGTAAAAGAAAGCTTGCCAAGCCTCGTGTCCGCAAGCGCTTGAGACTCGACTTGAAACGCCAGTGCTCTAGCTTTGGCAGTGCTTTCTTTCACTTTGTCCTAGCAGAGACGCTGTTTCTAGAAAGCCGACCCTGCTGTCTTGGCTGTATACATAAGAAATTTTACCGCCGCACTACGACTGCTATCCTGGGGTCTCTGAAGTTGCCTTTAAAAAGTGACCGCACAGAGAAACAACAAACAAGCTGTATACTCGCATTTCACTTTAGCGAATCCCATCTGAACGCTGCTGGTCGAACAAACTTAAGGGCGTCAGTTAAGACCTTAAAAACTCTGAAACAACCTAAGATGAGTCCGTGTAAATGTACTTACCGTGTAGCATTCCATAGGACAAATACGTATCATAGTCCATAAGCGAGGGCGTTGTTATAGTGCACTGCTGCATGCGCAGGGTGTGGGGCCACGTTGGATGCTGACAAGGGCGGCGCCATCGCCACCATGGGATATCCGTACTTCAGCGGCGACGGCACGTGCAACTGGATTATTCGCACGGCTCAAACTGGTCAGTATCGACTGCTTCCTTTTCCTACACTTACATCCGCGCTCGCCAGGACTGCATCTCTGTTCCTATATTCCATTCCCCCCTGTGTTGACCGAGCGGTGGAAGCTACGTGCCCGCCGGACCAATCAGCCGCCTCCCTTTCATGATCTGGCCCTGCTCTCGGTGCGTGGGTACGAGCAGGAGTCACGTGACTAAAGATTGACGTACCAACAAACACTTAGCTTCCCCCGCACGGCCAGCTTAGAGGTGAACAGAGTATAGCGTACTCAGGGGGAGGGCGGCGCACGCAGGCGAGCGAGTCACGCTCACGCCGACCCACGTCTCGCTGCCGGAGGAGCACTGCACCCAGTTCAACGTGACAGTGCGCGACGGGGACACAGCAGAGGCACCGCTACTGCAGACCCTCTGCTCGAACCAGGTGCCTCCAAGCATCGTATCCAGGGGAGGCGCCTTGCACGTGCACGCCTACCGGGCCGTCTTCAGGGCCACGTACGGAGCCTTCTTGAGCGGTAAGCCGTCCTGGACACATCTGAAAGTGCGGCAGGGGCCGATGCACCGCCCGAATTACAGACTGCGGGGCAACCATTACATCCCTGGCGGGCTCCTTCGCGAGCCCCGACCACCCGGACAGCTACCCGCGCTCCAGAGACTGCGTGTGGACTCTGTCGGCCGCCAGAGGGAACATGATGTCCGTCAGCTTCATGTGAGTCGCTGCCCAAAAGACAATCCTCTATGCGAGCTTCTCGCCTTACTGTCTCTATTTGCAGATCCTGGGAGCTTGAAGACAGTGAGTTCTGCAACAAGGACTACGTGGAAATTCGCGAGAAAAACGCCGCAGGAAGGCTCTTCGGGCGCTTCTGTGGTTCCTCACTGCCCGGTAACCTGAGCCTTGCCAATGGCTTCTGGATCAAGTTCCACTCGGATGACGATGGCGTTGCTGCTGGATTCCGAGCACAATTTGAGACCGGTAGGCGCTTCTACAGCAAAGTAATATTCGTGTCTTACAAATCTTTTCTTTTTTTTTTTTTTTGCAGCCCGGAAGGTTGAGCTTGAAGGATCGTATGGCGAGATCGAGTCACCGCTTTACCCACGAGAAGACGTCTTCGTCGGTTCTTTTGCGTGGATCGTACGTGTTCCTGACGGCACTTACCCACGGATCAGCTGGAACAGCCTCTCCATCTACCCGGAAGACTGCCAAAACAGATATATTCAGGTACCCTCTGTTTTCGACCTCTACCAGAGAGCAACCGATTCGCTTGGCTCGTGAGCGAATCCTCCACATTATTGTTACGGCGCCGCAGGAAACATGACGATGGCGACTGGTAGCCAACAACGTTTATTAAAAAAATTGGCTTGCTCTTTATGTTTATACAGCCTTGATGGAGATGCGCCTCAACGGGTAATCGGTCTCTTAGCTGTAGATGAGAAATTTAGCCAGTGCAGTACAACCGCTAACCTGGGGTTTTTAACGTGCATCACGCAGTAGTGATCACACGAACGCGTGCCGGTACGAAACTCATCCAGATCGAAACGGGCGGGGGCGGCGGGGATTGAACCCAGGAGGTTCCCAGCGCAAGCTTTCGCTCCACGGTCCGAGCTGAGACGCGTTAGCCCACTCGGCCACTTCCTCCCCACAACGTTTATTCCTGCGCAGCTTGCGCTTTATATCGTAGACAGGAGAGGGGAAGGAGAGAGGGAAAGGGAGAGAGGAGGCGGACAGATAAGGTGACAAGCGCCGCCGTGCTTGTAGCGGCGAGGCCGATCTGCAACAGTCTTCTCCCTCCTAGGGGGAAAACCGTACTAGGGCTCTCCTGGTTCGAGTAGGTCGCTGCAGGCCTGGCGCCGCCTCCGGCTGCGGGAGACGTGGCGGACTGGGAGCGCTTTCCGGTGGACTTTCGGGAAGCCGGGGCTGACTTGATCGAGGTGTCTGTGAAGGACGTTTCCCTCGTTGCCGTCGGCGGTGACCATGCGTGCGCCGTCCGTAGACTGCACTTTAGCTGGTGTTTATGGTTCACCTCTTTTAAAATTTCGCACCCATACTGGTTCCCCTGTGTGGACAGGATCGTTGGTATAAGTGTCGTTCCGATGACCGACCCGTGAAGGGGGGGGGGGGGGGGGGTGTACAACTGCGTTATCTAGTCTTGAGCGCAGCTCGTATCCCATTAGCTGCATGGCCGGGGTCTTGCCACCTGCGGAAGGTGTCCGACGGTACCCATGCAGCACCCTTGCTAAACGAGTCTGCAGCGACCTTTGCTTGTTTTGCTTAAGCCCCTGTCTTACTGTGTGGACGGCGCGCTCCGCCAGCCCATTATATTGGGGGTGGTAAGGTGGCGTACGGAGGTGCGCGATGTTATTCAGCCGCAGAAACTTTCCAAACTCTTCACATGTAAACTGTGGGCCATTGTCGAATACAATGGCTTCTGGCAGCCCGAAGGTGCTAAATACCGTTCGCAATGCCTCAACCGTAGTAACCCCATTGGCACTTTTCATGGGCACCGCCTCAATCTACTTCGTGTGTGAATCTACCACAACTAACAACATAAAACCATCCACTGGTCCCGCAAAATCAATGCGCAATCTGGACCAGCGTCGCCCCGTCTCTGGCCACGGAACAGGTGTTTGTCTTGGTGGCATCGGCGCGGCCTGCACACAATTATGGCATGTCTTTACGAGTCGCTCAATATCTTGGTCAATGCCCGGGTACCACAGCATTGAGCGAGCTAGCGTTTTCATGGAGCCCATTCCCTGATGTGTGTCATGCAGTAGTCGTAGCATTGCTGGTCTGGCCACTTCCGGCACAACCACGCGATGGCCCCAATGCAAAAGCCCATGACTAACAGTCATCTCGTCTCTCCTGTCAAAGTAGGGTTTTAAACGGTTGTCCTCTTGTGCTAGACGAGAAGGCCAGCCTTCCTGTACACACTTCCGCACCTTCACGAAACCAATGGGTCCCGTTGTTCGGTCACAACAGTCTCTTACCGGTTCCCCCGGCAGCTGGTTGCGTGAGAAAAACTTGTACGACTGGGCCGTTTCGTTCAGTTTTGGCGAAAAATGTTGCTGCAGAAGATCGACCACTTCGCTGTACGGAAGTTCATTCACCTTTGCTGGAGCACAGCGTCCGCTGATGACGTCCACGGTGTTCGTGCTCAGCGCTGCGACGAGCAAGGCGCGTTTCTTCTTCGCGTCCGTCACCCCGTTGCCTTCGAAGAATGCCTCCAGTCGGATCTTGTAGGCGGGCCATTTGTCGACGGCTTCTTCGAACAGCGGCGGGCTTGAATAGCTCGCCATGTCTGCCGGGCAGAGCTGCCGAAGATTACGATCCCATCCTCGTCGCCACTGATACGGCGCCGCAGGAAACATGACGATGGCGACTGGTAGCCAACAATGTTTATTGCTGCGCAGCTTGCGCTTGATATCGTAGACATGAGAGGGGAAGGAGAGAGGGAAAGGGAGAGAGAAGGCGGACAGATAATGTGACAAGCGCCGCCGTGCTTGTAGCGGCGTGTCCATTCTGCAACAATTATCACTACGGAAGTTTGCATAAAAATGTCCCCCTTTCTAAGAATATGTGAACTCCGCACAGACGCCCGAGTAAGCATTCGGTAATGAAACATTCTTATCCATAAAAGAAAGTATGAGAAAAAAGGTGAGCAGAAATCATTCTTCCTCTTTCCGTCACCGGCCTTTTCACCCTCTCAATAGGTCATCCGTTGCCAGGCGTCCCTTCGGACCTCCGTGCCTGTACGACTGCCCGTTGAACCACGTTGCTGCAGAAATGTTAGGTGGTTCGACGTTCCGACTGCTCGACGTCACTGTTTGGAAACAGGACATCACCCCCTTCGCTAAAGACACAGATTGACAGAAAGAATCGCCAACCGGTAGTTTTCTGTCAAGTCATATGGAAAGGTATTTTGCAGCTTGTATTGCTGCAAACTATGGTCACGAACAACTTAAACAACGCTGGGCATGGCAAGGCATCCTCTCATCGCTGCTTAGCCGATGAAATTGCAGAATTAGCCGGAAAGAAGAACGAATCAAAAAGCAAGAAATACTAACATAATGAGCCCTGCGTTTTTCAAATTATCAGGGACTAGAGAAACTTCAAATGCGTCTGCAAAATATATTTTTTTTATACTAGTTTGATTACCACCGTTTGCACATTTGAAAAGTAATGCGCTCGTTTTCTAAAGTAACGAACCCATGCATAGTGCATATTGGACGATTAGCTAAACTTGGACTGATATGAACATTGGAACGTCTGTGCAACGCATGGCATGGGTTGGCTTGAACTTTAGATTTGCAAAATCTTGCGTCAATGTAATTCCAAGTCTCAGTCTTACTTTATAAACCTTGAAGTAAAATTATGATCTTTATAAAGAAAGTTTTTATATAAATAACGCGAGTTTGTATTTCGTCTAATTACGGATGGCTATATGAGCTAATTTCACCAACAATTCAATTTATTTTCCTCTTCTGGGGTCACGTCTTGTTGGCTGCAACCCAAAGAATCCGTAAAAATGCCACAGAAGGCCTAAAACGTCTCGCCACTTAGTGGTGCACATAAAAAGCCAATAAAAATCCTGGTGCATTTAAAGCAAAAACAATTAAAAACTAAAATTCAAACTCGCGGAAAAGGAAGGCACTAGGCTAAATTAAAAAGAAAGTTTTTCTCATTTATTTGAGAAAGATAAAAATAATTCGCCTTGCTTTATTTTAGAACCATTGGCTTTATTTTTAGAATAATCACCGAATTCTTTAAGGGTATATTGTAGTGTAAAACTTGTTTTAATACACTGGCAATCAGAATTTTGATGGTGCTAGTTCTTCCATTTTATAACCTTTCTGATCAAGTAATTACTCAAAAATCGCTTACTCCGCACTTTTGTTTTAAGTTTTTTTTTTCGTTTTTTTTTTTTTTTTTTAAATTTTAAACGGGATGAATTAGACGGTGCAAAGTTAGGGCTATCACTGGCCAATGCAGTTGAACTTGACGTACAGCCACTTTTTTCCTTCTTTCACACTCGTTCGAGCATCTACAAAATAAAGGCACGATTTCCGTGCTTGACAGACGGGCATCTTTCATAATCCATCTATAAATTTCTACTGGTTCTATTGTAGTTTTTTTTTTCCACCAGAACAAATTGGATAAATAAGGGCACCTCATTCATTTAACACTTACTCAGTAGCTTCATCTTTTTCCAAGCGTTGCAGCGTATGTGCTTTGTTTGTCTGATGATGATGATCATGCTTGTGACTCTCCCCTTTGATTTTTGTGCCCAAACCTGTTGACGTCATTGTAAACTATATTATTTTGGGGTCCAGCAATTTTCTAGTCTTCGCTTCGTCGTTCTCACGATCCATCGAACGTAGCCTCTGTGGTCTGTCAGTGGGTGGTGGGCTTTGGATAATGGTCGACGGCCAGTAATGATGAGCGCCATCTGGCGGCGCAACTGCCGGGTGGCATACATTGCAAAGTGGCTGGGTTCGTTTGGCGTTTGGACTGATAAATTAGAGAAGCTTACTTTGTGAGTTACCCCTCGTATACAACCATCATATCAATAAAATCAGGAAGGTCATTCTAAGCACGGATTCAACATGAAACAGAGGAAGTAATATAAAATTTAGTCTTTTCAACTATATGACTGAAGCTTTTAAAATTTTTTAAAAAAAGTGCCTTCTCTAGGAAAGTCATGTAAAGAAAGAGGTTGAATATGGCTTGCTCTAATTAGGTTTATAAATCAGGTACATCAGAAAAATATTTGCTGGGTAATTATTTTTCTTTATATTGACGTAGTTTCTAAAAATAGACGTTTTAAAATGAACACATTTTTTTTTTTCGAAGTAACGGTACATCGGCAACGATGGTGAAAGCCGGTGCACGCGCGTAAAGTGGTATGTCTTGCAAATTAATTTTCTAAAATTCTCTAATTAACTCCTCACACTAGGTAAGTCCCAAAAGCAACAATTTATAGCGCATCGTACAAATGCACCCGAACACATATTGCAGAACAGTTTAATGACGGGTTTCGATTTTCAAGTGCGGGCCAAAGATCGGCAGTACTTCGAATGCGAGAGTTGGAGAGACATATATATGATAGTTTCAATATTTTTTTTATATTTTTATTTTATATTTGAAATTGTATTTAAATTCTGAAAACTGGATATTTTATATTCACGTGTAATCAAAGTAATTCTGGCACTCGTACGATGTAAGTAAAACGTTAGGAGCTTAAAAGAAAAAGAAAGGTGACGTTATAAAACGGTTGTAAGAAAAAAATGGTCCAGGACAAAATAATCCTGGGCGAAATTGTCCCGGACAAAATGTTCTTAGCCGAAATTGTCTCGGACAAAATGGTCCCCAATGTGATTCAGGACAAAATGATCCCAAGTGATTCGTCGACACTTTGAGCGCTCTTTAATAGTTTTAGTGAACTGCGACTCTGAAGCGTTATTCAACACATCTGTAATGTTTGTTTTTATTTAATCAAGCATTTCGTGATAAATGTTAGGAGCCTGAAAGTTCAATCAATTTGCATTATCTCTCACTCAACTCTATGGCTTCTCTTCACATACGTCAGGGCACTGTGCAAAGTTGGAGATTGGAAGTCCCTACACAATTTTATGGTAGAAGCAGAGTCTTTTTCAGGCACCACACCTTTATCTCTGCCCCCTACGCGGTGATCCAGCGAAACAAATACAAAAGACGTACGCGTAGACCAAAAAATGCAAAGTCGCGACGCACTCTCTGCGATTGAACTAGCAGATGATAACACGCACAAAAAAAGTTGACAAACACCATTACTATTGTTTGGATTTCAGCACGTCTTGATTCGTCCTATTTCCTCACAGTGTCGGCCGCATTATGACTTTAGTAAAACGTAGCATAAGCGTGGTCCCATCGTTTGTGAATAGTCACATCATTTGTAAAAGTAATTTTTTTTTTAATTAGCGCAAGCGCTTACTATCCGGGGTCACGCCTTGACCGATTAGACATTGCCGGCTACTGGTTTCGAATTCGCTGAACTAGGTAGGCAACAGCGGTTGCTAATTTAATTCCCATGCTAGTTATGAGTTGCGGCAAAAACGTAGCACGTCATCTCAGCTTACAAATGTCGGAAAGGGCCCGTCTTCTAAGATATCTATGGAACCAGTCTTCCCCATCGTGACAGGCTGCACCGTATATATAATGGGAGTGATGGAAGATAACAAGTGCAGCCGGGGTAATATTGTGAACGAAGAGGAGAGAGAGTGATTATTGAATTTATTGCATTAATGTTAGGGGAAGAAAAAGAGAAAGAGCGCTGGCGAAATATTGGGCCGGGAGCGGGGGCTGAATTGGCAACCTTCGCTTATCCGGGGCGATGCCTTGACCAATTAGATCATCCCGGCCACTGGTTTTGACGGACTCAATTTTTTGACCAGCTCTCTTTTGACTGATGGTTTCGAATTCGCTTAACTGGGTAGGTGACAGCCGTTGCTGATTAATTGTTCATGCTAGTTCGGAGTTGCATCAGTGACGTAGGACGTCATTCCAGCTTGCCAACGCCGGAAACGGACCGTCCTCCTATTCGTCTTCATGGGGAAGAGAAACAGATACCTTAGAAGACGGACCCTTTCCGACATTTGCAAGTTGAAATGACGTGCTACGTCACTGCCGCAGCACGAAACTAACATATGCATTAAATCAGCAATGAATGTCGCCTACCCAGCTGAGTGAATTCGAAACCAACAGTCAACAGAGAGCTGGTCAAAAGTTGCGTCCGCCGAAACCTGCGGCCGGAATGGTCTTATCGCTCATGGCGTCGCCCCGGATAGGCAAAGGTTGCGGGTTTGATCCAAGCCTTTGGCCTAACTTTTCGCCAGCTGTCTTTGCCTTTCCCTCCCCCAAACATTAATGAAATAAATTCAATAATCACTCTCTCCCACCTTCGTTCACAATATTACTACGGCAACACTCGTCGATTTTCCCTCACTACCATTATATATATATATATATATATATATATATATATATATATATATATATATATATATATATATATATATATATATATGGGTGATTTCATCTCAAATTGGGCAGGCTAAAAGAGCCTAATTCTCAATTTCGACGAAAAAAAAATATGTGATTTAGGGGCATTTCTCGAATGGAGGGCGCAAACCTCATGTTCCCCAGATTTTTGTTCTCGAGTTACAAAGCGTGGAAGCCGCAGTGGCAGAAACTAGTGTTTTTGCCTGCCGTCGCAGGTCACGTGTTTGACACTTTCTGTTGGCGCTAGTGTTTTTTCTACACCATTTTAACTTTTCTCCATTATTTCATAGGTACTATAAAGATACCTTGATGTATTCAAATATTTGTAATAATTTGATTGTTTTTACATACAAAATACTAACAACAATCTGAACCGATCCACCGGAACGCTTCGAAGCAGCTGTATACACGGGCTACGATGTGCCACACACAAAAACAAAAGAAGAAAACAATGCTAAGAGAGAGAAGAACAAAACAACGACAGGTTGCTACCTTTGGGCCCACATACAGTCGCCCGTGTTCAAGGAGCCAAGCCGGCTTCGTAACGTCGGGCACAGTGAAGGAATTGGTTAGAGTCTACTAAGTACCCTGAACTTATTACTTACCTAACCAGGCGGAGTTCCGCCGAAATGTTTACTTTTAAGACTTATTTTTGGGCATGACTCTAGAAAGGCCTGGGCCTGATTAGATATAGCTTTTAGAAAATCTACGCTGTCTGCTACTTTTTTTATTTAAAAACTCGCAACTTTCCAAAATTGTGCGAGACCTCCAGTCGGTTCTTTGGTTTATTGTAGTTTGTCAAAATTATTTCTTACAAAGTTCAAGGAACGGGTGCTCTGGTTTCTGGACGAACTTCCACCTGGCAATTAATTGCCTCACAAGGATATGACCTAAGCCAAGACCACCATCTTCGATAGAACGAAATAAATCAGTTCGTCTCATGGGTTCGTAGGAAGACCTCTAAATGAATGTGGCAAATACCCTATTGGACATATTGACCGTCGTCCTCGAACAGTGTATGACCTAAAGGATGTTAGTCAGTTTCGACAAAAAAAGACGTTGCAAATGGCAGCTCGACCAATTATCGAAAGGTACCTCATGTTCGACATGCACGCAGTCGATTTAACACTTATGCCGACCCTGCCCACATAGACTTCGGGTTGTCCATAGCACTTAAAGGTACACCTAAAAGTTTTGGTTTGCTTGTTGATCATGTAATGTCTACAGATCTAGGTGGCATTGTCCCCACTCCCCACACCAAGAGTCACAACTTTTGTCTTTGTTAATAGCAGCGCCAGACGTAGCACAGAAATCTGAAACACATGTCATTGCGTTTAGTATGCTAAGTGTATTGGAACAGACCAGCACCACATCGTCTGCATATGCGAGGAGTTTCACCTTGCAACCGCGGATACGAAAACCTCGACTAGTGTTGTTGTTTATGATGTTTCTGCAGAGTGGTTCCAAATACAAGTCAACCCTGACAATCCTGACATACCAAGCATTGAACTTGAATGGTCTTTGAGAGAGATCCGTTAATAACCCACTTAGTCGTAATATCGTTGCAACAAAGTTCCACGCCTGTCTCAATTGTTTCCCCTACTTGTATATGCTTCAGAAGAGTAAAAAGGAAAGGATGTTCCACTCTGTCAAAGGCTTTTGAAAAATCAATTTGCAATATTGCAGCTGTATCACAAATTATTTCACATATTTCTAATAGAAACCGTACAATATGAAGGTTTGTTTGGCTATTTCTTTTTAAGGAAAAAGTTTGGTGATCTCCTACAACCGAGGATATCACACTTTGGAATCGAGCAGCTTTTGAAAAATCAATTTGCACTATTGCAGCTGTATCACAAATTATTTCACATATTTCTAATAGAAACCGTACAATATGAAGGTTTGTTTGATTATTTTTTTTTAAGGAAAAAGTTTGGTGGTCTCCTACAACCGAGGATATCACACTTCGGAATTGAGCAGCGAGCAGGGGGCCCATATTTATAATCAAAATTTAGAAAGCTAATTGGTCTGTAGCCACCGCTTTGCACGGGGGGGTGAGAAAGCGCGAGAAAGGGGCGAGCGTCGAGAGGGTATGGCTTGGGGAAGCCACGGGCCTGACGTCATGGCCTCCCCAGGTTTTCTGACCTCCTTGCTCTTTCCATCCCAACAGTATTGAATAATTCGGAACAAAAAGAATTAAACATCAAAAATCTAAAAAAAAACATTTAATCTAGCAAAAAAAAAAACTGAAAAGCTCCAAATGTGGGGCTTAAATTAGCTTGAAAAAACACCACTCTAAATTTCAAAAACAAATTAACTCCAAAAACAAAACAAAACATCCTAGTTATAACGAGCACGCCCCGCATCGCAATTCTGTCATCTCGAATGAACCCTTTTAAAAAAAATGTGCGCCTTTCGGTAGCTGCTGCGTGGATTATCCGAGGTCAGCTTATTTTGGGGGTTGATCTTTGAACATAAAAAGTAAACACAAGCACTTCGGCAGCTCTTGGCGAGTACTCGGGTTCAATTGTATTCGACACGAGTTCTGCGTCAGCGCTCGGCATAAACTCGGGTCCAATCGCACGCTTCTCGCAGGAAGTGATGCCCAAATATGTCGGCCGCCAGTGTTGCGTGACGAGTTTTTGAAAAGGGTCTTTCGTATGTGTGATGCTCTAACATCCTGCGCGTCCAGTGGCACAAAGACGGTGCAGGTTATAGCAGACCGTCAGTGGCGGGGCGTACTATATACCGCAGGTTCTGGACGGCGTGGAAGAAGGCTCTCCGGAGGTCGGCCGCTACTGCGGTCACCGGGTGCCCGAGCCGCTGCTGCTGCGCTCTTCGGGAGCCCTGATTCGATTCGAGCCGAACAACGCCTACGCCCGCTGGAGGATGCGCTGGGAGGCCGTGAACGCCACCTTCATACAGACCCTGCCCACTCTCAGCACGGGTGAGGGTCCATCCCCGCACCAAAAGTGTGGCCCAAGGATGCTAAGGATGTTCGAGCAACACGATGCTGGAAATTATAGCAGCACCCTAGGGAAGGTTTTTACGAACAACAAGCTTACAAGATACAAGTTCCACCTGCTGTTCTTACCTGCAAATACAGTCACAATGAATCACGCACTGGAGAAAAATCACCGCCCTGGACTTGACAACTTAAAGGCACTCGTTTCCCGGTGACCATATTTGCAATTACGAAAGTCACAAGTAGGTATGTTGCTGTCTTCTCGTCAATATTTCACGGAAAGCACATTCTAAGCTCAAGGAATTGGTCTCCGAGCGAAAAGTTTTAGTGCAGGCAATAATTACTTAACGCAGTCGCTAGAACTTCCGCTAAAGCCGTCTGAAAGGGTTTCGGTGAGACCAACACCTTTCAAAAAATTAAGGATGTTACATGCAACAGAACCATAATTTATGATTACAATGAATGTCTTACTCCAAATGAGAAAAAATAAAAGAGAGAGAGAGAAGAAATAAGGCTGCAAGAGGTTAAAGCACTTGCTGTACGCTTTTAGAAGACCGTTTTTAAACCCTTATAGATGTCTAATGCTCAAGCTAGAATCCACTGGCGGGCTACAAAAAGTGTGTTACACTATCAAAGGTAGGAAAAAGTGTGAATAATAGCAGAGGTTTTATTCAATGTTTCGATCAGAGCCTGTTTTTTTTTCAAGAGTCCTGCAATTATGATGTTATCAGTCTCCTGCTGTTCACAATTTTTTCCTACGCTTCGTACTGTCTGGTGAAGGGCTGTTTATTAACGCTTTAAGCTGTAAAAAAGTGTATTTGTTTACGAATTATAGAAGTAATTTAGTTTTTTGCCAAAATTGTACCCACATACACTGTCTATAGCATTGGCGATAGGACATAGTAACCATTTATTTGACCGATTCTTAGAAATATATTGACCCTATAATTACCGCATAAAATATGACAGGCACTTTTTTGTGAATGTAATATGATTCATAATACCGTGCTGTTGTGTTCTGCCAATAGTTTTTTTGCTTTGGTTGTTCAATACGTGTGTTTACCATTGCCTGCTAATGCAGTGTACTAGGGTGACAGGGCCTCGTCGGGTAGAGTTGATCGTTTATCCGTCTTTTCTACTTTTGTCCCGAAAAATTGCGTGCAAATGAAAGCAAAAAAAAAAAATTTTGTTACTGAGTACGTTCTGAGAGGGATCCACCCAAGACGTCGCTCGGCGTTCTTACAGGCTTCCCTTGCGGCGGTCGGTTGGAGCTGGCGAACGCGACGTCGACGCTGAACCTGACGACGCCGGGCTTCCCGTCCCGCTACAGCGAGGGCCTCAACTGCTCCTGGACTCTGGTGGCCCCCGCCAGGCGTCGGCTGCGTCTCCGAGTCACGGTGTTGCAGATGAGGAACTGGGACATTCAAGAGTCCTGCAATTATGACGTCATCAGCATACTCGATGGTAAGCTTCCCCGTCCCGACTGCCATCAACAAATTCGCGCGCAGTTTTTTTTTTTTAACGTGAAATTTTAGGAGCTAGGTTTTCAGGTGAAGTGAAGCCTCTAAAAGCGTAACCGAGAATTGTTCCGCTAAATTTAACGGGAGAAACTACGTCTAATGTCTTCATGTCACGTAACCTACACGCAAATTCAGTTCCCTAGCTGAATTTAGCGCAAGAAATAATGTCACGTGACATGATCACGTGACCTATACGGAAATTTAGCTTCCTCGCTAGATTTATCGAAAAATATGACGTCACGTGACCTCAAGATCAATTCAGTTTCCTGCTAAATTTAGCGGGCAAGTAGTGACTTAGTACCTCTAGCGCTATACCAAGAACATTTCACGCAGCAACACTACTGCAGGGCGATTTGCGACACATTTTTTTAGCTTTATCAAAACTGGCAGCTTAAATGTGAGATGTGTCGCCATTGATTTGTTTATTTGGCTTTAATATTGTTATTATTGATATTATTGTATTTACTAATTTATGTATTTGTTTATTTATATTTATTTATTTGAATGCGTACATCGCCTCAAGAGAGTGCTTAGTAGTGATGGTGCTGCATAAAATAAACCACACATAACAATGAAAACACAACTATAATCGTTTAGTTGAAATACAACGATTTTGAAAGTAGAAATATTGCAATTGTGAAACATATAAAACAACTTGCACATACACTTGTACTTTTTTTTTCAGAAACAGCAATGACAATTCAGTTTTTACTATATCTCTGAATAGACTATTCCAAATTTCAATTCCGTGAAACAAAACACACCTAAACACATCAGTACTTTTTCTGTTTTTCTTGTTTGTTTGTTTTTTCAGAAGGCATATACAAATAATTGGAAAGACAAATGGGTTCATAGCCAACTAGCTAGTGTGGGTTCATAAAAAAAATACTATTACCTGAGAGGCAGAGCCTTTACCATGTGAATTAAAAGACAAAATAAAAAGCAACTTAAGAGAACATGGACAGAATTTCTTTCGAACTATATTAATTAACTAAACGAAAGAGTGACCATGAGATGAAGATGGTTTAGGGAGAAAAGAGAAAATCGTGCTTCAGTGCTTTACTAAATTTATGCGAGTTTCGAAGAACAGCTGACAATGAGTTGCAAATTTTTGTACCAGTGAATTGGACTAGTCTTTCCCAGTATACGCTGTGGAGTTCTGGACGATCAAAAATCCCAGCAAAACTTGCGCTAGTTCGACGAGAACCTTTAACGAGTAATGTGGTTGGAAATGGGCTGTATGTAGTTACAATTCTATTGTAGGAATTTTGTGTCTTATAATATGCCGAAATGTTAGGATACGGAGCTGGTGAAATAAACTGCGTGATTCTTGTGGGCGTGAGATATGTGTCGTAGGTTGTACCCCAAGCTTCCGTACAATATGTGAGATGACTATGAAATATAAAGATATATATCATTTTGATTATGCGAAAGTTACAATACTGCCGAGTCCAGCAATATATAATATTCGTATGATAATTGTTGGCGAATACAAGCAATATGATTTCCTAATCTAAATGAGAATCCAAAATAACACACAAGTACTTAAATGTTGTTGCCTGTTCTATTGCAGAATTACCAAAGTAAATTTGACAGTTATCATTGTTCATAGGTTTTCTTCTGTGAGTGAAATATGACATATTTTGTCTTGCTTTTATTTAGATCGAGCCAACGTGTTATAGTTGCACCATTCTGGAACAAGAATTAGTTCATTAATTACTCTTTATGTTATCTAGAAAAAAATAGGAGCAATAAAGGGATCTGCCGTCAACATACACTATAATTTGTGAATTGGTAAGCAATTTGGAGAGATCGTTGACTTGTATTGAAAATATTACAGGACCAAGTTTGAATCCTTGTAGAATTTCTGCTGTGTTTGGCCTAGTAGAAGATTTTAATTGAACATAAAAACGAATCGACAGTGAGATGTTAAATGACTTTTAAGAAAACATAAAGGTGAGCCCCTAAAACCATATTGTTCTAGCTTATTGAGTAGAATTAGATGATCAACAGTGTCGAAAGCTTTTTTTTTAATCTAGAAAACACTAAACTTTATTTTATTTTCATTACGTGAATCAATTATCAAATGACGAAGTGAAAGAACAGCGCTCGGTGTCTGTCTATTGGACCGGAACTCATGTTGCAGGAGTGTTATAACATGAAATTTGTCCAAAAAGGCGTTAATACGTTTCACTATCAGCTTTTCGCATACTGTATTTATATTGTTTAGAGCTGATATTGGTCTATAATTCTGAGGGTAGTTACCATTAATATTTCCACCCGTGAAAATAGGACAAATTTTTGTCATTTTTGATTTACAAAAAAATTATTTACAGATGAATTTAGATATAACCCAGTTGTTAAAGAGTGGTTAAACATATGTTGTAGTGGAATATCCAGTATGTAAATATTTAATTATAGCACTTTAATTGATATTTTTTCAGATACTTCAGATTTCTTTGCAGGCATCTGAGAAATGATACACTTCCTATTTCTGTAATCGTTATATTTTCAATCACGCAAGTATTCCGGATAAAGTCGGGCTGTGGAGTCATTAGACAGCCGTTCACACTAATATTATTGGAAAGCTGTAGGCCCATGTTAGTGAAGAAGCTATTAAGCTCTTCGACTGTGTAGTTATCTATTTGATCAGGAGCTTTCTTTTTTGTCTCTCCTAATAATTAGTGTTGATGGCAATCTTTAGAGATAAGGTTAGAGTAGCATTCCTTTTTACGTTTTCTTAAAAGTGATACCGACTAGTTACGATAGAGTTTATATTGGCTGAGATAAAATGTACTATGTTTATGCTGTTTTAGTTTTAGTTACCCCGCGTTCTTGTCTTTTGGTTCACGAAGAGTGCGCTGGGTAATTTTACTTTACTTTAGCGGGCAAAGCATTTTTTTAATTATTTATTCTTTGTTGTACATGAGTCTGTTCGAAAATATATTGCCTTTTACAGAGACGTATACTGTTAGGAGAATATTATGTAAACATTTGCGACGGGTGCAATGACTTCTCTGACTAATAGATTTTCAACGTGGCCATTATTTCAGTTCAGTTACACTGGCTCTCAAATCACAATTCCCTGTAACGTATCTCTAGCAACACGATTATGTATCTTTCCTGCGTGATTATTTAAGTTTTGCTTGAAGGGATCCGGAGTTGCACTCGGATATTCAAGTATTTTAAAAAATTTACTTTTTTTTATTTTGAGGGGCGAGATTAACAGGCTATATTGTTTTCTCAACCCAGCTGAGCTTATGCTTCATTAAAGGTTACTGTTCTTCCTGACACTCGATCGTCCTATGGTAAATCAGAACCTCTCTGCCCTTTTAAACCAGGCTGCGAGATTACGGGCATGTTCTTCTACTCGATATTTTGTCTCTAATACATGATTGTTTGCGCATTAAAAAAGTTTGTAAAGCACAGATTCACTATGGTGGCACCTCTTTCACTTCTGTCCCCAGTCACATACGATAATAATTGCACCACTTCGTAATGGGCATAGTTTGTTATGTATTGTTCGAGGTCTTTATTTATATTAACGCACCGTCAAACTTTCACTTTACGTAGAAACTATTCACATGCAGAGAGCTGCTATGAAGGTGTCGTGGTTTAACAAATGACTGAACAGATAAGCGCACATATCAGGCGCAGACAGTCGTACGCATCGCAACGTAGGGAAAAAGGTTGCTCTTCATTGATTCAAAACACAGCTTTCAATTATGATGTGTTTACCTTCTTTTGAGTTGATTAAAAGATAATAGCGGTAACCTAAAAAAATCGTTTCAACGCGGTGGATGAACTGTAACATACTCAGACAGACACTCTTACGCCAATAATGGAAGGAGGACCTTAACAAACCACAACGTTCTAATCTTAGAGGCAGTTCAATTCGTGTATAGTTTCATTTTTTTATAAGCCTCTATCCCAACTTGTTAGTATATATGTGAACTACCACATCTACTTTTTTCCTCCTGCTATCACAAACGTACATCATACTCTGGATAACCTAAGGGTTAGCCAGGGTTTAATGCAGGGGTCTAAATAATGCAGCGACCCGCGATTCGCTGGGACGTGGCCCCCAAGCATTAGAGGGACCCTACAATCATATTGAAGCGTCTACCTTTTTCGCGGTTTCCACGTCTCTTTTATTTCAGGCAAGCCAGCGGGCACGGAGAGAGTAACTAAATATCAGCGCGTCATATTTTAACCGGACAACGCGGAAACCTCCTTCACCTACGGGGGCGACCCGCGGTGCCGAAAGCCCGTGGTAGTGAGGTCTTTGGTCCTGGGCTTACTACTGGTCAGAGCCCTTAAAAGCTTCTTTTTAGTCGAAATACAAAATATAAGTGGCGCGAACTGTGTCAATTATTTATAAAAGTAAACTTTGTTCAGTATTTTAGATCAGAAAAGAAACAAACGCACTCTATAAAGTACGGAAAGAAGAAATGACCCGTCGACATACCTGCCACCAAGCGGTGGAAAAGGCGGCGCATGTTAGAAAGGTGTAGTGGGATCAGGCACCGACGAGCGGCGAGCGTAGAAGGGTACCGGAAGTACCTTGCCGTATGTACCCGGCGGCGCTGCGGTCGTATAGACCGTTTTATCGTGGGTAGCGCCATTTTGAGAGCGAGAGAGAAAAGGGGAAAGGGCTACCGGTGCTTTCCTCCTTTCTGATTGTGTAGAAAGAGTGGAAGTCCCGGATGAGAGGCTTGGCCGGTGTTGGGCGTCTGCAGTGCCCCAACTTCGTTCGCGCTTTCTTCTACGTTTGAAACTCCCAAACTTAATTAGAGCCATGGTCTTTGATGGCGACAGTCCCCCGGTCATCGGGACACCATTGCTGGGTGATAGGGTGCACGAATAACGACAGAAAGCGTCAAATACTGCCCGAGGACCTATGTAGCTTGCATGGAATCCGGCAAGGCAAGTACGGCTGCAATG